GATGGCCGGGAAAGCCGCGGTGCTACATCCCCTGCCCTTCGACTGTCGGTCACCTCGAACCCAGCAAAATCCCGCTCGGACCAAAGAAACGGGGGTGGAAAAATATTTGTCTAAGAGTCGGAGTCGCCCCTCGAGTGGGACCCGACGGTTTTCAGCTAGAGCAGGAGTTTTGTTCTGCTCCCGAGGGACGCTCCCTGTGCCCGGCCAGGTCAGCATCTCCTCGGACGCAGCGCACCACGACACGGGGGAAAACGCTCCTCAGTTTCGTTTGCATTTTGGGGGGTCACCACAGGAGCGGGGGCCGTGCTCAGGTGAGCTCGCTCCCGCCTCCCTCTTTTTTCACCCAGTAATGACCTGGCGGGGACCGGACGGCCCAAAGCCGAGCACTGCCCCAGCGGGTCACGCTGGAAAAGCCAGCCCGGACTCAAGCCCCTGTGCCACGATGTGCTCCGTGTGTCGTGCCTCTTCACCCACCACCATCCCGCAGGGGACCTTTCCCACCTCGGCGGGACCTCAGCTTCGCTCCCGCTGGGACGCACGGCCCTGCTGCGGTCACGAGTGGCCGCAGGGAGCCGGGTGGCCCTCGGGGCAGCGGGGCTGGTGCCGCCGGTGGGTCTGTGTGTCGCGGCCCGTGTCCCTCGGGGGTCCCGCGGGGGCCGCCTCCTCCCCGTTCGCCGGGATCCCTGCAGACCCGACGGCCGCGGAGGCGGGAGCGCTGCCCGGCCCGGCCCGCAGCGGGAGCGCGGCGCTGCGCGGGCGCGGAGGGGCGCGGAGGGGCCGCCTGCTCCGCGTCCATCCCGCGCAGCGGATCGCCGCCGGGAGCCGCAAATCCCGAGCGCTTCCCTGGAGGACACGCCGCCGCTGCATCCCGGCCCGATGGACGGCGCTCCGTCCCTGGCGAGCCCGGAGCGCCTCCGCGGGATGCGCTACCTGCGCTGGGACCCCGCTTAGCCCCTCCGCGCCCCGGTCCGCGCTGGGAACCCCCGCGGGCTCGGCCCCGCTGCCCCGGCAGAGCCGTGCCCGCGGGCAGGGGCGGCTCCCGGGGCTCCGCGCAGCGCCGGCAGCCGGGGCAGCGGCGGCTCCGCAGCCTCCGCCGCCCTCCGTCCCTGCCTGTTTATGTTTTAAGTCCACCCGATCTTATATGTAACAGCAATATATATGTTAATTGAAAACTTCTGAATTTAAAAAGGTTGTGACAAGTTATAATTTGTCTTGTCAATGTCTGGAATCCTTGTTTAGCTCTTTAGTTGTGTCTGCTGTTCGTGCCTGTCAGATAACAGCTTGCCTAACACGCTGCCTTCCTCTCTTATGGCACGGAAATGACAAATGTGCTGTTTTATCCATACAATTTATTTCATTATTGTTGCCAGCACGAAGCATCACAATCAATCATAAGGAAGTCCAGTTGGCAGGTGTCAATCTTGGTATGTTTTTGTACGTCTCAGTCCATATTTAATCCAATTACAAGGGTCATGGAGTAAGTGCAAATCCCCTTGTTGCAACTCACGTCTTATTCAAGATTTAAAGTAAAAAGTCAACTTGATCACATGGGCGCTTTGGGGGTCCTCCGATACCTTTTGATATGTGGTGTCCCCCCCTCCCATATTATGCAGAGATAGCGTTTTATCAAAGAGTTATTGCGGGTCGGTTGGGGTTTGGGGATTCTTTTTTTTTTCCCTGAGTGTTTGTGTGCAAATGAAGTATCTTGTTATTTTGCTAAAGAAGAGGGAGGTTTTAATGATGGGAGATCTTTCCGCTCATTGCCCTTTCAAATACAATTGTAGATCGAACTCAGCCTTGTCACGTTGAGGAAAAGTGAATTTCTAACATCCAGGACGTGCCTGTCGACTTTCAGCGAATTGCATCCAATCACCCCCAGGGAATTCAGCTAATGTCTCAGTCTAAACCGGGATGAGGGGAGAAAAACAAATCAAACATTGTCCGGAGTCACGCTTATTATGAAAATGTTTTAAAGGATAGAGAAGGGGAATAATTCGAGACAGTCCAGAATAAAGTTTTCGACAAATTAATAGCATTAGGAGTCTTCGGGGAAAAAAAAAAAAAAGAAATACAAGGAGAGAAAGGGAGAGGGGAGAAAACCCAGCTACAAAGTTAAGGTATAAAGAAATGATTTATGGCTATACGTTTCTCTTTTTTAAAGCAAGAAGCATTTTTTTAACCTGGATATTTTTGTTTGTTTTTCGGATGAGAAACAAGGTTACGGCATTGAAAATAATAGTCTTATTACACAGTCTGCTACGGTGGGATTCTTCGCGACGGGAAATGTTATCTTTCTGCTAAATTTCTGTCTTTAGGACGCTTCAGTTCACAGAAGTTTCTTGCAGCATCTTAAATGAGAGCCCCCAAACACGCACTCCCGCGCTCTAATCCCGCTTGTTATAGCAAGTTTCCAGCTCGCCAGGGTTCGCAGACCGGGGTGCCCGTGTCAGCCGGCTCAGCCCGCTCTGGGCGAGTGCTCCCAGGAAGGGTGGGTGCAATCGTTTACCAGGTCGCAGGAGAGCCTCGCAGGCTGCCAGCCGCGCCACAGCCGGAAAGCTCTCCCAACTTTACGTGGCAGCACACAAAAAGCCATTTCAATAATAACTCAGGTATTTTTTATTCGAAGAGATGGAGCTGTTCAGTTTCTATCAAACTGCGAGAATTCTGAGCCGACAGGACGAGAGAATTAAAAAAAAAAAAAAATAAAAAAAACAACAAAATCAACCAACAATACAAAACAAGAGCAAAATTACATTTCTGCACCAAGGTTTAAACGTAATCCTGGGGGCAAAAGAGAAATGTTAGACAAGCAAAGAAAAGTGTGGGGGAAATAAAAAGAAAGTATTTAAAAGCACATACCTTGGACAAGGGTAAAATATCCCAGCTACAATGCTAGTCAAGTACGTCTTGCCTTGAAAGCCAAAATCACGTTTCTATCGTAATATTTTTCCTGTTCTAGGACTTTTCCTTTGGTTTTTACCGTTTATTGTAACTAGTCTTGGACCCTGCAGCCTGTGCAATGCCACAGTAAACAAATTGTTCTGATGTGCTTATTATTATTGCTCAAGTTCTGCTTGGATAGAGAATTAAAGCTCATTATTACAGTGTGTGTTGAGAATTGCTCAATCTATGTGAACACGGGGGTTTGGGGCATCCTCGGGAAAAAAAAAAAAAAAAAAAAAAAAAAAAAAAAAAAGAAAGAAGAAAAGAAAAAAAGAAAAAGCCCACAACTTCGGAACGTAGTGTAAATCAAATATGTATAACGCTTATAAATTTGTAACACGTTGCCATGCCCCTGCTCCTATCCCCTGCCCGGCGCGGCGACTCCCGCACCGACCCCGCTTCCCTCCGCGCCCGCGGGGCTCCGCTCCGCGCTGCACCGCGGAGCCGCGTCCCTCCTCCGCGGCTCAGCAAAGGTCGCGGACCCGACCGCGACAGGAGCAAAAAACCAGCGGGGACACGCACAGGCGTGGGGGGGACACTTTGTGGCCCCGTTTCACCGGCACCGCTGCCTGCCCGAGCCTCCCCGGCTGCGCGGCGGGCCGCGGGGGCTCCGCACGGCTGCGCGGCGGGGTTATTACAATTTTAATTTTTTTTTCTTTTTAGGCGACCTCTCGACCGAATACGGACTCTGCTCCCAACGCTCCCCCACCTTCCTGCCTCTCTTTCTTCTTTCTCTTCAATCCCCCCCCCCCCCCCCCCCCCCCCTCCTTTTTTTTTTTTTTTTTTTTTTTTTTTTTTTTTTTTTTTTTAGGAGATAAAAAGGCAAACAGAGCGCTCTGGCGCTGGCGAGGGGCTGTTTGCCTGCCTCCGCCGAGGCCTGGCCAAGCAGACTTGGCTTCACGCCTGAGCAGTTTCTGGAGAGCGGCGCGCTGGAGAGCAGGGGAGGCAGCACCTGGCCCTGCTTTAGGAGCCATCTCCTTTTATTGACAGCCAGATAAGCAGGCGGGAGCCGTGGTGTTTCCAACGCTTCCCTGGAGGACCCTGCCGGGTTGCAGGGAGCCGCAAGCCCCTTAATGGCAGCGGCTCCAAACGCGCCGCGAAACCCCTTCCTGGCAGCGCCCGCGGGGCCGTCGCTACCTGCCAACGCGCGGGACTTGCGCGGCCGCCTAAGGGACAGGGTCACCCCGCATCTCAGCCGGATCCCTGCCCCGGATCCCTCAGCACCGGAGCAGCTCTCCCTGCACCCCCGGCACAGCCTCCTCCTAATGGACCCCGCAGCCCCCGCCCCAGCCCGGTTCGGGCGGCAGGCTCATGAAACATTTAAGTGCAGTTCAATAAAACTATCGGCTGCGGGGGGGCCTCTTTGCCGATGAATTATTTACCCTGACAAGTGTGTGCAAATAGCGGCCTCTCCCTCCCGCTCTAATGGGAGCGGGCGCGCACGGGGAGCCCGGGCAGGGCCCGCGGAGGTGCCAGGGCGCGGGCAGGCTGCGGGTGCGCGGCCCCCTTCCGCCTGGCAGCACCCCACTCCCGCAGCAGAGCCGAGGGCTTGGGGGCCACGGCATCCCCGAGGAGCCACTGGGCTGCGGCAGGTTTTGGGGGCCTCCTTTTCCCAGTGCAAGACTGTCCTTCATGCGGAGAGCGTTTCGAAGGGGAAGAAGCCAAACCTCAGCCTAAAACTCGGCCAGGGAGGCCGGGGATAAACTGGGGCTGGGCTGGGGCGAGCCGTCGGGCCGTAGCCCCCGTTTGCAGGGAGACGGTGGGAAGATGCAGCGACCCCGCCGCTGCCCGAGGGTGCCCCGGTCCAAGGGAGTCCCGTCCCGCGGCCGAGCCCCGGGTGGGGCGGGGCGGGGCCGGGCCTGGCCGTGCCGTGCCCGCCGACGGGGCGGGCGGTGTCCGGGCTCGTGTCGCCTAAAATGTCTCATTAGCTAACTACTGTCCGCCGTGACGTCACCGGGGCGGCCCAGCCAATGGGGGAGGCGCTGGCGTGGATATTAAGGGAAAGTTAGTGCAAAGGCAGCACCCCTCTTTTGCTGTCATTGACATTTAAACTGTGTGGCAGGTTCTCGCGTGGAAATTGGCCACCGGAGCCGCCAGGTACCTCCTCCCGGCCGCGGGACCGCCGCGCCCGGAGCCTCCGCTCCCGCTGACAGGTAACGAGTCCGCACGCCCCCGGCCGCTCGCCCCGGCCACGGGCCGCTCCCGACGGGAGGGGTCGGGGTGCCCGGCACCCCCACCCCGCGGGGGGAAGGCGAGGGGAGCGGGCCGGAGCCCCGCACAACAGGTGGGGTGGGAGGGAGCGGCTCCGGCCGCTGCCCGCCCGTCGGAGGGGGCGCCCCGGGGAGGAGGGGGCGGCCGGCGCTGGAGCCGCTTCCCAAACTTCCCCCGCGCGGGCGGCGCGGCCCCCTCCCCTTCCCCCCCCGCCCCGTGACCCGGGCCCCGCTCCCTCGCCGTGACCCGTCTCGGGTGGCGGGGGCAGCCGCGGGTTACCGCGCCCCTCGGAGCGCCCCGCTCGGCCCCCGGTGGACGGGACGGGAGCGGGGCGCGGAGGGCCCGGCCCGCACGGCCCCGAGCAGAGGAGGGCCGGCGGTGGGGCTGCGGGAGGGAGCCCCGGGGGGGGCCCTGGCCCTCCGAGCTGCCGTCGGGGGCCGCTTCCCCTCCGCTCTTGGCCGCCGAAAGCAGGCGGCTCGCCGGTCGCCCGAGACGCTCGGTTGCCCCGCTCGGGTTGGAAAGGTCCGGTCGCCCAGAGGCGACCGCCGCTCGGCGCCCAAACTCAGGCTGGCCTTCCCAGCCCTGGGTGCCTCTGCTAAATCAGGGCGTCGGTGGGAAACAGAGGTACCCTGGAAAGGCCGCTCTTCCTCCGAAATAACGCTAAACAAAATAACAAAACCTAAAACACCGCTTACCTGTCTTCGAGCATCTCCAAATACTCCTTATGGTGCGTTAGCGGGAACGCTCCCTGTGATGCTTCACTATAATATACCGGTAAATGGACATTCTCCTTCAGTAATAAATCAAACACCATCTATCTCAGATCCTCCTCCCTAATTAGAGATGTTTATTGGAGATGGTGTTTATCCAGCTGTCATGCCGAGAAAAAGCTGTGACATAATTACCTCTGACCAGATAGTCTTTTATATGCATATCTCGCTGACATATAAAGGAATCGGATTGCATTAAAAAATGACAAGATCAAATGTTGATTTTAGCCGATTTAATAATATTTCTGGTCATTAAATTAATTGAAATCCAACTTTCAGGCTCTCCAAATTTTGAATCTCGCTATTTAAACTTTTTTGTTATTATTATTTTTAACAATTAAATGAGAGGTTCTACCAAAAGGATGGGCAGAGGGAAATATGCCCTGCAAACTTGCCGCAATAAATCAAATACTCCAGCTAAAAGAAAAAGAGCCCTCGACCCCTCAGCCTAATAACACAATTGACGTGAATACGAGGAGTTTCTCTCTCGGTTGCTCGTGGTTTGCCGATGGGGGTTTTGCTGCTGTTTCGGGAGGCCAGGAGGGTCCGAGATGGGAGAGAGGCGAGAGCGGGACACCTCCTTAACGCGTTCTTTTTAACCCCCGCGCCTCGGCGGGGCCGGCGATGCTGCTTCCTCTGCTCTCCTGGCTTTGGCAGCACCAGCGGAGCCATCTGCGCGGGGCTGCGAGCGAGCCCTGATAAGCTCCGAATTACTGTGTAATTGAAAATATATTTTTGGGAAAGGCCGGTTTTACAAATATCAAGGGTGTAGGCTTTTGATCCTTTCTGCTGCCTGTGTTCTCCAGTTGCTAATAAAACTCGCATTGAGCTCCTTAGTGGCTTGATTAACAGGCAGATTAACTGTTACTGGGGTTTTGAACAGCTTGTCCCAATCAATAGCATTTAAAAAGCCCGTCAGGATGCGCTAAGCTTTCACCCCCCCGTTCTTTTCTGAAGGCTTTTCGAGCGGGTCTGCTTGCATGACACTTTTCCCATATTTATAATCAAAGGCTTTCTCGTACGGAGGGATGTGTGTCCGTCTTCCAGTTTCAGAGCGACTTCGGCGAGGTCCAGAAAGCCTTTTTTTAATCCTGCCATGCGGAGCTGTGCCTCGTGCAAAAGGCCAACATCAAAGAGGTTAAATCGATTCCAAACTTTTTGCGGATTGTTTATAAACTAGAAAAGCTCCACTTAACTCAGTGTCCTGCGCATTATAGGTTTCAAACACTGTCTCTACATATACAAATAGGCATTAAGTGTCCTGGAGGCAAAAGCATTGTAGTCTAAGACGTCAGGATTTGTGTATCTCTTCAGTTTTAGACCGAACTGGACAAGAGGACTTTAAGCATTTTTCTGGGTATTAAAAAAGGTAGTTTGCAGCCCAGATATTAATACAACGAGACGATACTGGAGTTTCTAACTCAGCACTTTCTGCTTTCGACACCTAACAAAATACGAAAGGGAAGCGAATGCTGCTGTTTGACACAAATCAATACCCAGGCATGAGATCATATTTAAAAAGTGAAAATTATTTTAATTAGGAAAAACAAACAAAAAAGGCGCGTCTTGCCACGTATAATAGTTACTTACCTTTGGTTTTTAAACCATTTTTATATTAGCCCATTTTTTTTCTTTTTGTTTGGACCAGTTAAGAGTGGGGGGAAAAAGTGGAGGGAGGAAAAAAAAACCAAAAAAAACCAACAAAAAAAAAAAAAAAAAAAAAAACAAACCCAAGTCAGACGCAGGAAAAAATGCTAGTTACATTAATCCCGTGCGGATTTTAAAGTAGAAATCTTCAAAGAGTGCCTAAGTCCATGCCGAGAGCCAGGGCCGGGGCCGCGGGGTCCCACGGCCGAGGGGTCCCACGGCACAGCCCTCGCCCAGGGAAGGGGAAAAGGGGAAAAGGGGGGCGGTGTGCGCCTGCAGGAGGGCAGGGCTTTGGGGCGAGGGGAACGCCGAGCGCCCCATAGCAGTGCTGCTCCTCTCCCCCAGTTACAAAGGCGAGCGGAGTCGTTTTAGAAGTGGAAAATTCACTTTAAAAAAATAAAAGAAAAAAGAAAAAGAAAGGGAAAAAATAAGGAAAAGGAAGAAAAGAAAAAAAAAAAAAAAAAAAAAAAAAAAAAAAAAAGGAAAACCAGGCCGGCCGGGCAGGGAGGGAGAGCGGCGAGTGGCAATCTGCTAGATGGAAAAAGGAAAAAGAAAAAGCACAGCGTTTCCTTGGGAGGTATCCAGGCACGGCAGTCCCGGCAGGTCCCGCTGCCCCCGCCGGGAGCGGGACGGAGGGCCGGGCGGGCCGGGCGCTGCGGCGGGGAGCGGGCCCGGAGCGGGGAGCGGAGGTAAAATGGCGGCGGGCCCGTGGGGCTCCGCGCTGGGACAGCCCCGACCCGGCGGGACCCGGCGGGACAAGACGGGGCGGGCAGGCGGCCCCGCTGCCAGCCCAGCCCGGCTCGGCCCGGCCCGCTCCGCTGCTCTTTCTTCCTCCCAACTTTGGCTCGGAGCTCCCCGCGCCCCCCCGCACCCCGCCGTGACGTCACCGCCTCACCCCTGCCCTCCCCTCCCCGCACAGGGAGGGATTCTTTTTTTTTTTTCTTTTTTTCCTTTTTTTTTTTTTTTTTTTTTTTTTTTTTTTTCGGATGGGTGGGGGCGTTAAAAGTTTTTTTGGGGGGAGGGAACACAAAGCCCGCGGCGCCCGAGGGGGAAATAGCAACAAGATTACGGCTGCTTTATTCTGGCGAGGAGGCGTAAGAAGGTGCTAATCCAAGGGATGGCTAATTGAGAGCTTGTAAAAATGATATTTGCCTGCAATTTCGGACAAAGTGGTTTTTCTCTTTTCCTCCTTTAACGCCCTGTGGACAAGAGTTAAAAAAAAAAATCTCTTATTTGCTAGAGAGGGAGTGCAACAGGGAAAAGAAAGAAAAAAAAACTACAACAACACCCGAAAGAGGAGGATAAAAAAAAAATAAATCAAAAGCCACGGACACGACTGACTTCACTCCAGAAAAAGGACTAGATCCCAGCTTTTAACATCCCTTTGGATCCTCCGAGATTGGTGCGAGCATACAAACCGCAGCCCCTTTCTCTCGCCCGCAGGATGCGTGCGGCGGGACACCCGGCCTCGGCCAGCGGCAACTAGGAGGGGACCGGCTGTTCTGCGGGACGGCTCGCCGGGACTGCCCCAGCCTGGAGGGCAGGCACACAGGTTCGTGCTTCATTTTGGACTTTGTTTCTCTTCTCTTTTGCCGCTCTGAATTTTTTTTCTCGGCTCCCCTGGAAGGATGTCTGGCCGCGGGCAGGTTAACTTGGAGGATGTTACTTCAGAAAGTTTTGGGGAGGACGAGAGGAGCTGGGGGCTGCCGGGTGAGGGAGGTGCTTGCCCGAGGCCCTGGTGTTGGCAGAGCCCCCTTCGGGGTGCCCCGAGCCCCACGACCGGGCTGCCCTTACCTTCAGGGGGGGATCCCGTCACACCCAAACGCTCCCGTGCGTCCATGGCGATATCCGGCTCCATTTCTACACAAACGCGCGGCTCGGGGCAGAACTCCAAAGGAGACAAGCCCCGCAGGCTGCCCTGGGCCTGAGCAGGGCGGCAGAGCCCCTCGCTGCTGCAGGTGGGGCCGGCTGCATGGCGGGGCAGGAGCGCGGCCGCTCTCCCTTCCCCGCCTCCTCGGAGGAAAGGCTGCGCCCGGGCTGCGGGAAGGGCCGGGGCACGGTGCCCACCGCAGCCCGGGCCTCGCCAGCGGGCGCGGAGCGGGGCGCTCACCGCGGCACCCCGGCCTCGGGGGAAGGGAAGGGTAGGGAGCGGCCGAGGCACAGGCAGCAGTCTCTTAAGAGCCCATTTTGTGCTATTAGGGAGCGGTGGCAGCTTCTCGGCGGGACAGGGGATGACAGTGCATGACGGCCGAGCAGCCCATTATCCCGCTCCCATTGAGGCGCCCTTTCACTCACATGCAAACTCCTTGGCAGAGTCGTTTGTCTCCTCATTGTACTTTATTTAAGAATGCAATGGTTGTCAGGGCTCTTATTCAATTTCAAGATACTTTATTGATGAGCTTTGACTTTTAGCACTTTTCACATGTCAAGAGAAGTCAAGTGTATGCGGCTACGACTTCATTTTATGCTTTGCGCGTTCATACTCTCCACTTTCCGCGGTGGCTCTTGGAATTTCTTTTTCCTGTCTCTTCTCCTTCTTCCCTTTCTTTTCCCCAAGCCTTTTTTTTTCTTTTTTTTTTTTTTTAATTGTTTTTCCCGATCGGCCTCGGGGGAAGGGAAGGGTAGGGAGCGGCCGAGGCACAGGCAGCAGTCTCTTAAGAGCCCATTTTGTGCTATTAGGGAGCGGTGGCAGCTTCTCGGCGGGACAGGGGATGACAGTGCATGACGGCCGAGCAGCCCATTATCCCGCTCCCATTGAGGCGCCCTTTCACTCACATGCAAACTCCTTGGCAGAGTCGTTTGTCTCCTCATTGTACTTTATTTAAGAATGCAATGGTTGTCAGGGCTCTTATTCAATTTCAAGATACTTTATTGATGAGCTTTGACTTTTAGCACTTTTCACATGTCAAGAGAAGTCAAGTGTATGCGGCTACGACTTCATTTTATGCTTTGCGCGTTCATACTCTCCACTTTCCGCGGTGGCTCTTGGAATTTCTTTTTCCTGTCTCTTCTCCTTCTTCCCTTTCTTTTCCCCAAGCCTTTTTTTTTCTTTTTTTTTTTTTTAATTGTTTTTCCCGATGCAGACCCCCCTTCCCCCTCCCCCCGGAGCACTCGCCATAACCGATTGGGACACCCTGAGCTCGGACTGGTGCTCCCAGTGTAACCTTAAATGCATGCGCTGAGGGGTTGCTTTAGAGTTTACTGAGGTGTGTCTTAATAGTCCGGCATTCAACAAATGTACTTGTGGTGTGTGGTCAGAGCAGCAAAGTCATTTACTTACTTTCCCCCTTGAGTTTCTGGCAGCCAGTGAAGGGGGTTCCTTGCAAAAGCAGAGGGAAGGAGGGGGGAGCCTCTTCGGGCGGGCACAAAGCGGCAGCACTGCCCAGCGCCTGGCTCACCCCTTCTCCAAATCCTCCGTGGGATCTTTAAAAAAAAAAAAAAAAAAAAAAAAAAAAAAAAAAAAAACCGCTCCCCACCGCCTCCTCCGCCATCAGCACCGCGGCCCCCTCCCCCAGCCCGACCTGAGGACGCGGCTGGGAGCGGAGCGGGGCTGGCGGAGCGGCAGGCGGAGCGGAGCGGGGCTGCGGAGCGGAGCGGGGCCGGCGCGGGCAGCGGGCGGCGGCGGCGGCGCCGGGCCCTGCGCATTCATATTCAAACGCCTGGGCCAATTGGGCCGGGGCGGGCGGCGGCGGCCAATGGGCGGCGGGGAGGCGCTGGCGGCGCTTTGCATACGGCGATATTCGGGTGGGAGCGGGCGGCGTTTGCACGGTGCGGAGTGATTAGTGGGTTTGAACCGCCGGCCCCGGCTCCGCCGCATTTCCCGCTCGGGTCCGGGCGCAGGGAGGAAGTGTTTTGCTGGAAGATGATGACAGAGGTCAGGCTTCACTAATGGGCCAGTGAAGAGCAGTGGAGGCGAGGCAGAGACCAAGGCACACACACATTAATACACTTGAACCATCACCAATCAGCATAGGTGTGCTCTGCCTCTCTCTCCCCACTTCACTCACACACTCTTTTATCTCTCGCTCTCCAGTCACTGACAGCCCATTTTATTGTCAATCTCTGTCTCCTTCCCAGGAATTCAAGATCACACAACCAGCAGCTTCAGTGGAGAAAAACTATTTTGCTGGCAACTCTTTTTAAAGCACCATCATTTCAAATCAGTGCGCTCTTAAACTATTGACAGGAGCTTTGACAACAAGACAGGATGCCTCATAAAGGTGAGTCTGTTCATTTATTCTCCCAACTTCTCCCTCCTCGCATTTTAATATTTAGGCAGGGCTCTCTCTCTCACCCCCCCTCTCTCTCTCTCTCTCTCTCTCATATTCCCATTTGCATTCCGGAGAGCTAAAGAAAGAAAAAATCAGCCAGGCAGCCCTTAGTCAACAAATGGCACGTGGGAGAAGTTGGTGAGTGTTTGGTAAAGGACTCTTCAGGGCCTTTCACAAGAGCCCTCAATACACAAAGTAAATGGTGTATTTGCTCTGCTCTTTCCCGGCCGGGCAGAGCCTCCCTCTCCCAGCGCCGGGAGCGGGGAAGGAGAGCTGCGTCCTCGGGGAGCTCCGCTCAGCTCCCCTCCGCCGAAGCGCCTGTCTCCCAAATATTTATGTCCTTACCATTTGAATGTTATTTCCCCCTTATCTCCCATTGTCGGACCGGAGCGAACTGTTTAAATGCAAATTGATCTCCCCCCGCTCCCCACCGCCTCCTCCGCCATCAGCACCGCGGCCCCCTCCCCCAGCCCGACCTGAGGACGCGGCTGGGAGCGGAGCGGGGCTGGCGGAGCGGCAGGCGGAGCGGAGCGGGGCTGCGGAGCGGAGCGGGGCCGGCGCGGGCAGCGGGCGGCGGCGGCGGCGCCGGGCCCTGCGCATTCATATTCAAACGCCTGGGCCAATTGGGCCGGGGCGGGCGGCGGCGGCCAATGGGCGGCGGGGAGGCGCTGGCGGCGCTTTGCATACGGCGATATTCGGGTGGGAGCGGGCGGCGTTTGCACGGTGCGGAGTGATTAGTGGGTTTGAACCGCCGGCCCCGGCTCCGCCGCATTTCCCGCTCGGGTCCGGGCGCAGGGAGGAAGTGTTTTGCTGGAAGATGATGACAGAGGTCAGGCTTCACTAATGGGCCAGTGAAGAGCAGTGGAGGCGAGGCAGAGACCAAGGCACACACACATTAATACACTTGAACCATCACCAATCAGCATAGGTGTGCTCTGCCTCTCTCTCCCCACTTCACTCACACACTCTTTTATCTCTCGCTCTCCAGTCACTGACAGCCCATTTTATTGTCAATCTCTGTCTCCTTCCCAGGAATTCAAGATCACACAACCAGCAGCTTCAGTGGAGAAAAACTATTTTGCTGGCAACTCTTTTTAAAGCACCATCATTTCAAATCAGTGCGCTCTTAAACTATTGACAGGAGCTTTGACAACAAGACAGGATGCCTCATAAAGGTGAGTCTGTTCATTTATTCTCCCAACTTCTCCCTCCTCGCATTTTAATATTTAGGCAGGGCTCTCTCTCTCACCCCTCCTCTCTCTCTCTCTCTCTCTCTCATATTCCCATTTGCATTCCGGAGAGCTTCCCAGGGAACTTTCCAGCCCAGGAGCTCACAAACTTTCTGCCTTTCACATAAGCCCGTGTCCTCTGGAAAAGCTAAAGCATCTGACTCGGAAACCAATGCCAACACCAGCAGCAGTAATTCCCACGCAGCGTTTGCTGCTCAGGGAAACCACCAGCGCTGGTGTCTGCGGTGCCGGTGCTGCCGGTGCCCGGCTCGCAGGGGCGGCGGGAGCCGGGCTGGGCTCCGGCCCCACGCCACGCCGCGTGGGAGGGAAGGAAGGAGGGAGGGAGAGAGAGAGAGGGAGGGAAGCGGCGCCTCGTTGCCCCCGGGGCGGCCCCGTCCCCGACTTCTGCTTTGTGTTCTGCGGTCTGGGTTAGGGAAGGCTCTCTCCTGACGGTAGAGAAAAACAGAGGGAGAGCAACCGGGAGAGCTGCGTGGGGAGGAAAAAAAAAAAAATTAAAAAAAAGAACCCATATCCTAGGCCAAGTCAGCTCCCAGGCGCGGTACAGGCGGGGAGCTGAGCGGAGCTGAAGGGCTGTCAGCTTTAATCAGCCACCCGGGGATCCTCCCAACTTGTCCCTAGTGCCGGCAACTTTCCCAGCTCCGGCGCGGGAGAAGCGCCGGGGGCGCGGGGCAGCCCGCACCGGGCACGGCGGGGCCCGCCGGGCGCCCCGTCCCTGCTCGGCACCGGGGCTCGTCGTGCTCCCGCTTTGAGGAATTTTTTTTGCTTCCTTTTTAAATCCATATGTTATATATATATTTCTTTTTTAATTAAAAAACCCTTAACATCTCTTATTTCTACAAGACCCCCTTTGATTCAATCCCTCGCTACAGCAAAGCTTTTATTTTTTTTATTTTTATTTTTAAGAAGTTATAAACTCTTCGCCATGCTAGAAAAAAAAAAATGCTCCAGCGAAGCGCAACAATAAACTTGATTCCATTTTCCCTCGCAAGTGCAATACAAAAAAAAAAAAAAAAAAAAAAAAAAAAAAAAAAAAAAAAAACTTAATTCCTTTTTCCCCCCGAAAGTAAAAAAAAAAAAAAAAAAAAAAAAAAAAAAAAAAAGGAAAAAAAAATTAAAAAATTCTGGGTTTGAATTTAACCTTGTAACGCTTTGCACGGAGGGGTTACATGGGCACGCAGAGCAGGAATAATTTCTGGAAAGTTTAAAAACAAACTTTCTCGAATGATTCAATGTACCTGGCAGAGGTTGTTTTGGAAAATGACAACAACATACTAGAGAAGAAAAGTGAATGCATCTTCTCCATTTTAGGGGCATAAAATAATAAAAGTGGCCCTTGAGAATAAATGTTGATAGCTGCTGACCTTCACCAGCAACTCATGCAAATCGATTGATTTTTATCTTTTTCGCGTTTGCCCCGGGAAGGCGAAACTCGGCCCTTAAAGCCTAACTACGCTTTCACCGGGAGAGGGGGAAAAATGCTTTCTGCCATGAGATTATATGAAGATTTCCAGATTAAGCCCCGAGTTGCGGATTAGGCCTGGCCTAGTAGGACACGGCACATTGCATCCCAGCTCTCGGAGGGATCCGGCCGCGTCCCGCCGGGCTCCGGGAGTCCCGCGGGGCACGGCAGGACGAGGCGAATTCTCTCTCGGGGTGCCGGGCCTGGCCGGGGCTGCCGGGCCGCTGCCTGGAGGCGGTGGCGAGTTGCCGAGCAAACACGCAGCTCCTTGCTCCACGCCTCCTCTTACCTTGCTGAAGACCTTGGTTACCCTCTCCCTCTATTGTAAACCGCTTTCGGCTGTGTTTGGGTTTGTTTTGTTTCGCGGCTTTTTATTTTTTTTCCCCCTCTTTCTCTCCCCCCCCCCCCCTCCCCCGCTTATTTTCTTTTAAACCCACTCAGTATCATTTCTGAGGTCCGTGCGGGCAGAGCTGAGAGCTGGAAGTTTGCTGGTGCCTTTTCGGATGGTTTCTTTCACCCCGTAGGCCCCGCGTTTATGATTTGTGCGTGAAATATGGGAGGAAATAGTGTCTGGAGCGGTGGGTTTCCCGTTCGGTGTGTGCCCATGCAGACGTGTTCGGTGTATTAAAGGGATGACTTCACGTTCAGCTCAGCTGAAGGAGATATCACCACGTCTCCATTGAAGTACAGTGTAGCTTGCTCTGCTGCTAATCAGGTAGCTCTCCAAAGAGCAGTAAATATTTACCAGTTAAAGTCTTCACGCTGCGAGAAAGTACTTGTTTGATGTTTATTTTTATGGATTTGAGATTACTAAAAGCTACTTAATAAATTATACCGTGGCTAGTCCTGAATGGGGAAACGTGCCTCTTTGATTTCTCCATCATATGCAGGAAGAGTAAAATTAATATTCATTATAGGCGCAAAAGAAAGAGAATGAGTATTTTTAGGCGAAAAAAAAGGGAGAGAAAATGAAGGCTGCGACTATTTCATTATTTTACCTCCTTTTTTTTTAGCAACCCCCTTGAATGGGCTCTTTATTGTAATTGTCCCTCCCCAATTGAGCACCCCACTGAGCTGTTGTATCTTTTTACAACCCCTAACAACTCGCACCAGTAACACAATTACCGCCAGATATTTATAACGAGAAATTACTTTTCCATTTTCACCCGCGACGATTTCAAATAAATACATGGGGACGCATAAATAAATAAATAAGTGGGCCGGGGGTTGGCAGGGCTGGGGCTGCCTGCAATAGTGGGAATCACCAACGTGAGTTGAATTTTGNGGGGGGGGGGGAAGGCGCTGGGGACTGTCCAGGCGCTGGGTCAAGGCAGGCACTAATGAAGGGAGAAGGGGCTTGTTTCTCTGCTCTTTGTAAGTTGGAGGGTTGTTGGTCCGTTGAGTTGGGAAGCTGCGCGGCCGGTTAAGGAGCCTGGGTTTCTGCACTCGGGGTTTGGGTAGAGGAGCAGAATGGAGGCCATTGTTCGCTTTCTGTAGGCTTTGTTTAACAGTTCTCACCCCCTCCTGTTCTTACTTTTTAAAGCAGTGAGGCGAGGTAGACAGCGTGTGTCACAGTACAGTGAAAAAGGGGAAGATCTAAAGACCAAAAAAGAAGTTAATCACAAGACGGGGAGTTTGGGGGAGAAAAAGTTGCTAGCGCCGCGCGGAAAGGGGGAGACAAAACAAAAAAAAAAAACCAACCAAATAATAATTAAAAAAAAAAAAGCTCGAGGAAATACCCGGAGGTAAAAAATGGAGCCCCGCTCCCAGCACGCAGGGCAGCCGGCGGAAGGTTCCCCCCGCCGTGCTCCCCCCGCCGCCGGTGCCCGCCCCGCTCCGCTCCGCGCCCCCCGGGCCGCCCCGCACACCTTCCCGGCGTCGCCGCACACTTTTTAATGTACTTCTTCTGCTTTGTCCTAGAGGGAAGACTTTAACTGGTGACACGCAGATGTGCGAGTCCCTAAATTGTATGAGAGGACAGTCCACCCCGCTTTCAGGCAAGTTTAAAAACATGACTTCGGGCTCTCTTTGTGATCGTTGTCGCTCCACTTAATACACCACCTCAGCGAAGAGCACTAACGACGAGGCAATACGCCACCTGCATGCAATTAAAACGAGAAACCACTTGGCGGGCTGCTTTTCTTAATTTTTCCCCCCTGCGATTTAGGGATACATATGAACATTTTTTTGCCTTGAGGTATTAAAGCCCCCAAATCCTTAAACGAACCGGGGCGGGGGGGGGAAGATGCCTTAGGATAACAAAGTTAGCCGGTGAGATATTAGCCTCTCTGCAGCTTAACCGTGTGCATTGCCTCCCCTGATTAACGCCTATTTTGTCACTGATAGACGGCTATAGGCGACCCCCGTGGGATACCGCTCTCTCAGCCCAACATGCAGAACAGTAAGTGACTCCGCGCCCCTTCGCGGCCGCGGGCGCGCAGCGGAGCGGGGCGGAGGGCTCCGGCCGGGCCGGGGAGGGAGCGGGGCCCGGCAGCGCCCGCCCGCCCCGTCGGGGCCGGGTCGCTCCGAGGGCGGCGGGGACGGGCCCGGCAGCGCTGTCACGGCTCCCGGGACGCTGCGCCAGGCCCGCCGCATGGCCCAGGACCTGGCTGCGTCCCCACCTTCTCTGCCGCGGGAGCTGGGCAGGAAAAAGGCGCTCCGTGATAGGTGCGGTTCCCCGCCACCGTCTGGGTCTGTTCGCTTCCCGATTCTGATGTCTCTGTGGACTGTTAATTTTTTGGGGGAGGGGGAGGCTTTTTGTGTTGTTGTTGTTGTTGTTGGGGTTGCTGTTGTTGTTGAAGGATAGGCCTGTGCCCTTCTCAGAGGGGACAGCGCTGGCACAGGGCGGGAGAGCGCGGGCACCGAGCCGGGTGTGGTGGCCGGGAGAAGCGGCCTGTCTTTGCGCCCCGGAGAAAGGGGCTGCGCGGAGCTCGCAGGGACCGGCGCTGAGGTCCCAGCCGGTCCGGAGTAGGCCTCATCTCCTCGGGGCGCGGATCTTCCGTGGGGTGGCCTCCACACGCCGCGGGCCCTCTCATTCTGCGCGCGTAGCGGCGGCGAGGAGCGCAGGTCGAGTTGCGCGGCCCTTGCGCTGAGCGCGGCCCCCACCCCAGAGCTCCTCTGGAACCGGACAGGGGATGCTCGGCTCCGGGACCCCTCTATCATCCCACCCTTAAACGCATTAATAAGTTGTCCCCCCGTGTGAGGGGCATCCGGAAAAGCAGAAGTTTTAGGGATTTCTCAGATATCACTTGCGTGAAGCGCTTTTTTTTCCCTTCGTTTTTGCTAATCTCAATTTTCTCTTTCCCCCCCCCCCTTTTTTTTTTTTTTTTTTTTTTTAATTTGGTTTGTTTTGATGTTACTTTGTGGGGGTTTTGTCCTTCTTTTATCTTCCGGGGCCGCTGCGTGCTTGTGCGTGCGATGTATTTTCATTTATCCCGAGCAAAAACTGAGCCTCGGCAGCCCGGGGAGGGTTTTACCTGCGCCTCGCAAGGACGGCGGCGGCTGCCCTTGGCCGTGGCGTGCCGAGGGTTTATGGTAATGGGGGATGCCTTCACTCGGCCGTTTGGGATCGCCACTGCAAAACGCAGAAAAGATATCATTCGGGTGAAGCCTTTATTTTGTTTAAAGGTCGCGGCGGGCTCTTCAGGCTTTGTGTTAATAACTCCTGGGTGTATATGGTGCAGAGCATCCAAATTGACACCATATGTTTTCCTATTAGATGACTAGCAATAGAATACAAGGCGCATAATCATTGCCACTGGGCGAGATCTACACCGCTCTCCAGGGAAATTATATAATGATTAAGGCTTAACCTTTTAAGTGAAACTTTGATTTTGCTTTCCCCGCTGCCATTTTTTTATGTCGGCCAGGGTCCCCCCGCACGCATTGGCGGGGATGAGGAGCGGGGGGGCGCAGCAGCCGCGGGACTGCGCCCCCGGGCGCGCACCGCCGCCCCGGGCCGGCCCGCCCGCCGGGGCGCAGCCCGCCGCCCCCCGGGGCACCGGCGGGGAGGGACGCGGGGCTCCCATCCCCGCGGGGGGAAGCGCAGGTCGCGGCTCCGGCCGCGCTGCTGGGCCGGGGCGGCAAATTCCCCAGCCCCGATGTCACTTCGAATCCATTGCGCGGGGAGCGCGCCCCCTCGGTGTGTCCGCGCAGAGCCCCCGGCTACCGCAAACCGCAGCCTCCCTCGGAGGGAGAGCGAGTAGAGTTCAATCTAGTCTGAGTGATATCCAAATGCGGACAGAAAGGGTCGTTTTATCATGCTACTATTTGTCGTGACGATGCAATTTTCAAAAGCAGAGTACTGTCATAAAGTGACACGCCTGCCACAAGTGCTCCAACTGATCTTTTCAATTAGCCTTCCATGCATGATCCGGGGCGACTTCCGCCTATTTCCAGAAATTAAGCTCAAACTTGACGTGCAGCTAGTTTTATTTTAAAGACAAATGTCAGAGAGGCTCATCATATTTTCCCCCTCTTCTATATTTGGAGCTTATTTATTGCTAAGAAGCCTGGGCTCTTGGAGTCAATTTATCAGGAGGCTCCAAAGAGAGGAGAGCGGAGAGCGCGTAGAGCAGAGCTTCTCCAGGGAGACCCTCAAAGCCTGGAGCTTCAGGTTGGGCACTGGCGAGGCAGCCTCTCGCTTTGCTTTTGGCGAAGCGAGCTGCGGCTGTGCGGATGCAGGCAGGCTCGCTTGGGCTTGGGCTTTGGGCTTTAATTTTTTTTTTTTTTTTTTTCCGGGGGGGGGGAGGGAGGAAAAAAAAAAAAAAAAAGAAAGAAAAAAGGCAAAGCAAAGGAGCAACCCAAGGCGATCCGGAATATTCTGGGCTTTTGGGTTGGGTTTCTGGGTTCGTGGCTACCGCGGGTTTCGCAGACGGGGAGCGCGCCGTGGACGCCGTTTCGGAGCCGCGGTGGCTCCGGGGGAGCAGAGGGCGAGGATGGCGGCGGGGCCGGGGCCGGACCCGGCTCGGGAGCGCTCGGCCCTGGCGGGGCGGAGGGGAGCGGGGCGTCCGGCTGCTCGGAGGGTGCTATGGTGGGCGCTGTGCTTCCCGCAGGTCACAGCGGCGTGAACCAGCTCGGCGGGGTGTTCGTCAACGGGAGGCCGCTGCCCGACTCCACGCGGCAGAAGATCGTGGAACTCGCTCACAGCGGCGCCCGGCCCTGCGACATCTCCCGGATCCTGCAGGTGAAGGCGGCGGCGCCCCCCGTCCTCCCACCGCTCCGTCCGCTCCGCTCCAGCGCCGCTGTGTCACCGCCGGGCGCTGATGCGACCCCCCCACACCCACCCACCACCACCCGCCTTCCAGCCTAATAAAACGATCCGTCTGCTCTGTTGTTGCTGCAAATAGACCTTTCGATGCGTATATATATATATATATGCCTTTTCAAATATTGAAATTTTTGCTTTTCGTTCTCCCGTATTTCCATCCGGTGATAACCTGCACTGTCGTTACAGTTAGTTTGCTGTAATAAACTGAATTATACGGCTCGGCATAATTTCAGTTTCCTCTCCTTCCCTCCCCATCCCCCGTATTTACTTATGATTTTGTGATATCTGTATGCATTTGGCGTGGCTTACTGTTTGGTTTTGGTGAGAGAGAGAGAGATAAAAGACCCCCCCTCAAAGCCACGCTGTTTTAGCCTGGAATCTGTCCTTACGGACATTCACGCAATCTGGCACAGTTCAGGGGTATTTTGTAAATGTAGGTCTTGAAAACCCTTCACTCACCCCTTCCCCCTCAAGTCCTTTGGCTAAGAGCAGTGAGAAGGATGGAGACTAGTCTGGTTTACCTATTGTTCGCATTTAAGGCGTATTTTAACCTTGATACTAAGAGAATTACGTTTTGACCAGATGATTTTTTTTTCTTCCAAATGTTTTTAAAGTATCACTTTTGTAGAGGGTAGGGCCACGAATGTAATTTTTTTTTTTTTAAGAAAAAAAAAAAAAAAGACTCTCTAAGTAAGTTCTCATACCATTTAAGGTATATTTTTGTGTTATAGACCCATGCAGATGCAAAAGTCCAAGTGCTGGACAATCAAAACGTAAGCTTGTCATTGTTTAATGCATACTTAAACAATTTTATTTTTGTCTTGAAATTATTAATAATGTGATTTTCTGTCCGCTTCCCTATCCAGGTGTCGAATGGATGTGTGAGTAAAATTTTGGGCAGGTATTACGAAACTGGCTCCATCAGACCCAGGGCAATCGGAGGTAGTAAACCGAGAGTAGCGACTCCAGAAGTTGTAAGCAAAATAGCGCAGTATAAACGAGAGTGCCCCTCCATCTTTGCGTGGGAGATTCGAGACAGATTACTATCAGAGGGGGTCTGTACCAACGATAATATACCCAGTGTAAGTTCATGAAAAAAACCTTCCCGTGTGCCGTGTACAATGCTGGGTAGCCGTAGCGAGCCTCTGCTTCCTTTGTTTTGGTATCAGAAGAGAGGATAGCAGGTTCACATCATTTGCATGTGGCAGGGTCAGACGCATTTTTTTCATACAGAATCTGACAAATGCCTTTAAGGAGGGGGAAAAAAAATAAAAAAACAATATGCGGGTCACCCCTGCGCCTGGCGCCTCAGGACTGCAAGCATCAGTCGGAGCCATCACTGGTTTTGCAGGGTTGGGTTTGGGGCGCTTTTTTTTTTCCCTTTGCTTTTTTTTTTTTTTTTTCCTTCCCCCCTCCCCCGTGGTTTGTTTGTTTGTTTGCACCACCACCACCAGCAGTGAGCGAGTCGGGGCGGCAGGGACTCGGCGGTGCGGGGCGGCCGCAGCGCGCAGCCGGCGCTCAGGGAAGCCTCGACTTGCGCCCAGGTCGAGCCGCCCGCTGCGCAGGGGGACGCGGGGGTTGCGCGGGTGCCTGGCGGGGAGCGCGCTACCGCACTACCATTGCCTTTCCTGTCCTTTGCCTTCCAGGTGTCGTCGATAAACAGAGTCCTACGCAACCTGGCTAGCGAAAAGCAACAGATGGGTGCCGACGGGATGTACGACAAGCTAAGGATGCTGAACGGGCAGACGGGGACCTGGGGCACCCGGCCCGGCTGGTATCCCGGCACCTCGGTACCCGGGCAGCCCACGCAAGGTAAGCGACAACGCGGTGGCCGCTCCCCAGCCCGGGCCGGCCCGGATCGGCTCGGTTCGGCCTCCTCCGGCCGAGGTGGCCCCGACGCGGGTCCTTCCCGGCCGCCGGGCTGAGGGTGGCGGGCGTTCGTGCCGCCGCCTCCCCGGGCGGCTGCGGGCAGGGGGGTGCGGGCCGGCGGCATGGGGGGCGTCCAGCCCCGGCCCCGGTGGGCAGGGGAGCCCAGCAGCGCTCGCTGCCAAAGCCGCGTCCGCCGAGCTGCGGTGCCGGCAGCCGGGCGGGAGCCGGGGCTGAGCCTTAACCTCGCCCATCGCCCGGTAATTGGGGCTCCCGCTCCCTGCCCGGGCCGCCTTCCCGCGCCGGGGTCTCTCCCCAAAGCCGGGGCCATCGGTAACTATCTCCGTAGGGCTGATTGTAATTCCTCCTCAATGGACCCGAAACAACTTTGTAAATATAGAAAACTGTTTATCCTGAAGATTAATAGGTATTTGTTGTAGGAATGACAAGGGGATAATATGAAGGATAATGGGATGTTACGTTACATACTTAAGATGGTTAATGGCTTCTTTTTGAATGCGGGCTCTGTTGAGGCTCGGCTCTCGCTGGCTCTGGTCATTCCTTTAGAAGAGGTGTCTATATACAACAACCTGCTTTTTGTTTTCACCCCGCAAGGAAAAAAAAAAATCGGTAACAGTGTGCGGAATATCTGGTACAAAGGATGTTTCTGTCACACGCAAGAATTTGTTATGGGAACAATTCTGTCGCTATGTAATTGCTCATTAGAGATCGTTTTGTTTCTCATTAAGGCGACATGAATAAGCGTCTAGTTGAAGGAGACAGCTGTAGAAATGTTCCACAGGAGACCTCTGGACACGATATGGCACCGCTTGCCAATTAGACATGTCAGTTTTAAGAGAAGAAAACAGTCTATGAAGGACACTAGAAAGATAGAGCGGAGCCCTCGCTCCCCCCCACCCCCACTTCGGTGTTTTTTTGTTGTTCGGTTGCGGGGTTGTCTTTTGGCATTTTGTTTTGCCCGATGTCCACGCCAGCAGCCGGGGCCGCCCTCGCCTCGCCCTCACCTGCGGCTCCCCGGCCCTGCCCGGGCTCTCTGGGCGGGCCCGGCCCCTTCTCTCGCTGTCCGCACCCGCGGTGCGCAGCGCGGAGCGCCGCTGAACGGGGCAGCGCACCCACCGCCCGTGCGGCCGGCCGCCCTGCGCTCCCGCCGGGGAGCGCTTTGCGGGTTTTTATTTATTTTTACCCTCTTAGGAAAGGCGTTAAATGGAGAAATTTCGGGCTCCCCGCCTCAGAGCGGTGCTCGGAGGCGCAGCCCTTGCGCGGGTGCGGTGCTGGCGCACCTGGGCCCGGCCGCGCCCGCGCTGCGGCAGAGCCGCCTGTGCCCGGGCCGGGGGCTGGGGGGGCCGGGGGCTTTTTGGGGGCCAGTGCTGGCCCCTTCCCGCGGCGTGGGGACTGGCGCAGTTTCCGCAGGGGAAGGCGGGCGCCGGGCAGGAGGGTGCGCGGCCGGAGGACCTCGGGAGCCCTGTCCGAAATCCCAAAATGAGGCGGTGCGGAGCGGGCAGCGCTGCTCGGGCCGCGGGCGCGGGCGTGCGTGGGCAGCAGAGGCGAGGGGGAGGCAGGCAGGCACTTAAAACATCCGCATGGCAAAATTAAAATTAATAAAATGGATTTCCTCTGGAATATTCATGCTCCCTCTAATGTTTTTCCCTTGCAGGGGTATGTTACTGGATTTTAAGAGTCCATTACTCAAAAAGCATAAGGCGAGGTTAGGTCTCAGAGGGGTACAAATATGGTCTCAATCTGATAAACGCCATGCAGCAGTGAATAAAATAATGGATACATGAGGGCTGACAGAACAAAAAGAGACATCTCTATCCGGGAGAAATTCTCCAGTGATTTAGTGGTTTTAGGGATCACCGAGACACTGTTTCTTATCTTTTTTTCTCCCCTCCCTCTCTTATAAGACTAAAGCCTTCTATAGGATTTAGACACTTTCTCTTTCAACAGATGCTACAATGTTTTGATCCCGGCTCTATAGCTGAGAGGTGCTGCAATTGGTTTGCTATCTTTTTTTGCTTGTTTTCCGCCTCACTGATTAAGACACTAAGAAACTAAGGAATGATTTTATTTCCCAGCGTCGTTTTTTTTTTTTTTTTTTTTTTTTTTTCCAGGAAACAAATCCTATACCCAGCGTCAGATGGTCTGGCTATAGGATAATAGGGACGGACATTCACTTGCTTTCTTACGGATTAGGTCTGGAAGGTGGAACAGCCCTATTGAGATAGCTTCTTTTAGGGGCTTTAAAAAAAAACCAAACAACCAAAACTCAAAGAAAAAAAAAAAAAAAGAAAAAAAAGAAAAGAAGGGGTGTGTGTCTAAAAAGAAGATATCTTAATTGTCCGGGACGGGGTTGGAAGTGACCATAAGCAAGTTTAGGCGAAACTTTAGGTCGGCTGAAAGATTTTGGGGAGGTGGGGAGCGCACCGAGGAAAAAGCGCGGCCTCAAAACTCCGCAGCGGTTCGGGGGCGGCCCGGTGCGCTCCCTCCCCTTCCCCGCCAGGTCCGGGGCTCTCTGCGGAGCCCTCCCGGCTCGGGGGGCCGCGGCCATCCCCCCGGGCTCCCCCCCGGCCGCGGGGCGCTGCGGGCGCGGCCCGAGCGGACAGTGATGGATGAGGGCGGTGGCGGAGGTGAGCGCGGCCCCTCCGCGGGCGGGCGCGGCCCCCGGCGCTGCCACCCGCGCTTGGCAGGGCGCTGCCCCGCCGCGGCGGCCGTCCCCGGGCCCGGGGCTTTGTGTGCCCTGAAAGGCGGCTCCCCCCGCCCCCCCGCTATTCACCCGCCGCCGGCCGCCTCAATGGGGCTGCGGCCGCCCATATGGTGACCACGGCCGCTGAATCCCTGTGTTTAAATGGAGGAGAAAGTTCGGGTTTTAAAACATTTCAAAGTGGTTGAAAGGGTCCCACCAGATCCTGTCACAATTCCCCCCGAGCTTTGAAGACCGGGGCCATTGTTCGCCGATTATAAATGATATTACTTTAAAGTTGATTTCCCACAATATTTAAAGGATGTCGCGGGAGTGTCGCTATTTATTTTTGGCGTAACTTTTCAAGGGAATTAGCATAAGTAGCCCATGCGTCCCTCACCCCGGCTCCCTCTTTATGCGACATCAAAACGCTTCGAAAAATATGCTTTGAAAGGAGAGGGAGAGCTCATTTAGGACAACGACTTCTCTGCCTCGCCGGCAGGCTCCGTTCCCCCGGGCCGGCGGCCGGGGGTGCCCGCGGAGCCCCCCAACAGCAGCCGGCCCCGGGCCGCAGCCGCCTCCGCCCGGGCGCCCAGCACAATGAAACTTTCCCCTGTTTAATGACAGAAATTACATTAAAAGTGGTGGAAATGCCCTAATTAAAAACGTACCACTTAAATGATATGCCAAGCGCTCAGCTGCAGAACGGCGTATTTAGCTAGTTAGTGAACTCGCTACTATTTCTTTTAAAATTACATGTTAAAATTTTAAAAGAAATCTTACTTTTCTCTGGTGCAACACATTACAAAGAATGGACAGTCCTTTTATCTAAATATAAAATTCCATTTTCAGCAATTATAGCCTGTTCTTGGTGATGATATAATTACAGCTGTGCTCAGTAATAGGTGTCAAGGCAATGCACACTCATACAATAGTTGAATAAAACTGCAGAACAATGCAGGCACTTCTAAATTCACAACCTTTAAAATGAAATTGACTGTGCAGAATTCAAATAAAAACTGGATAAATATTTTTTTAAAAAGATTACAAGCTTGGTTTGGTTTCTTAATAGCATTTTCTGCAAACCTATCAACATCTAATTGATTAGATAGGAATTACTGATTATAGATAATCTGAAATACTGAACATCACTATTTTAAATATAGCAATAGGTAAATAAATGCAGCAGACGGAGGAGACTGCCATGGCACTCCAGCAGGGATTCATGGAAAGAATCACATTCAGGGGAAAGTATTTTTATGCAGGTTTTATTCCAGAGGGAAAACAAAATGAAATTAAGACCAGGTGATCATAATTCCTCGTCTCCGATGTTTACATAAGGCTGGAAACTGAAATATTTCCGTGTTACCTGTGCCATTAGCACCGTGTTGCTTTGATACCTGAGACATTTTTAAGGGAGGGTGTCAGCAAACATGGCTGAACTCGTTTCCAGTTGCATTATTTCTCTGATAGGGATCTTCAAACAAGGGTACCTGCGTTTCACTTTCCGACTCTCTCGGTTCCGCAGATGGCTGTCCGCAACAGGAGGGAGGAGGGGAAAACACTAACTCCATCAGCTCTAATGGAGAAGACTCAGACGAGGCCCAAATGAGACTCCAGCTGAAAAGGAAGCTGCAGAGAAATAGGACATCCTTTACCCAAGAGCAAATCGAAGCCCTTGAGAAAGGTGAGTGACATTTTCCTACGGCTGAAGCAGTAGAGAAAACAAAATGTGCCCCGAACACATTACCAGCTGAACGTAAGCACGGCACTCCTGTGCCTTATATATATGTATATATTTAAACTCTGTGGCTCCTTCCGTGCTCTTTTATTCACAGAGCTCCAAATATTCATTGCTGGCCGTGGTGTGCCCTGAAAAGCTGTTAAAATGGTTTTCAAAGGCGAAGCGTTCAGGGCACGCATCACACCGATGCTGCACCCCGGGCTTCTCTTGGGGGGATAACTCTCCTCCCGTCCTCTGTGCTGCATTGCTGGGGAGGTGAGGGCAGGCAGGGGGGCTGGCAGAGTCCTCCACGCCTGCCCCCATGCTCACTCCCCATCCCCAGTGCCCGGGGCTGGGAGCAGGTGCCCTTTTCCCTGGCCAGCCCGGACGCACCTCGCCTCTGACCCGCCGCGGAGCTTTGTCCTCATTTTGCGCTGTTATTTAGCGACGTGCCATTTTGCTTCTTGGTGACAGGGTCAGAGCTGCCTTGGGGACCCCCTCAGTGGAGGCAGAAGCCCTCGCTGCTTCTTGAGAGATGCAGCACTGCACCCAAGCCTGCCCATCCCCATGGCAATGCTCCCCAGCAGGCAAGGCATCCTCCTTGCTAACACACAGGCAGAAAGCTCAGCTTTGCCCTTACAGTGATGCTTCTTAGGAGCATTTAGAGCACAGGCAGCACAGGAACAGCTCTGGTTTTACAGCCAGCCACATCAACTCTGCAGCTAATGCAAGAATATTTCCTTCTGCAGAATTTGAGAGGACCCACTATCCTGATGTGTTTGCAAGAGAGAGACTAGCTGCTAAAATAGACCTGCCTGAAGCAAGGATACAGGTACTGATTTGCTCTGCAGTTGTAACTACTATTATTTTTACTGTTACTACTCTGATTTTGTTACTCCTGGCTTCTCAAAGCACGGGGCAACCCATATTTATGATCAGATATTTGCCCGTACCCCTCTTTCAGGAAAATAGCAGCTGGCTTTGCTTTCACCTCCTGCTTTGCTCTTGAGCAGCTTGGGGGAGGCCCCGTGCCTCTAGTCCTTGTAAGGTCACTCACATCTCTCAAATGCTGTATTTCCAGGTGTGGTTTTCCAACAGAAGGGCCAAATGGAGAAGGGAAGAGAAGCTGAGGAACCAGCGAAGACAAGCCAGCAACACTCCCAGCCACATTCCCATCAGTAGTAGTTTCAGCACAAGCGTTTACCAGCCGATCCCACAACCAACCACCCCCGGTAATGCCACCAACCCGCTCACATCCATCCATCCATCCTCCGGGCCAAACGAGACTCTGAGGCTGTGCTGCCAGTTGTAATTGTGGTTAAACTAATGTGTTCATCTGTCTGTCTATTCTATTATAGTTTCCTCTTTCACATCAGGTTCCATGTTGGGCAGGACGGACACGGCGCTCACGAACACGTACAGCGCGCTGCCGCCCATGCCCAGCTTCACCATGGCCAACAACCTGCCTATGCAAGTAAGTCCAGTGCCACGCCAGGGCACCACATTCCCTGGGGATTCAGCAGCCCTTGGGCTGTGTGGGAGTGCGGGTGGGGACCCTTCCTCCAAGCCATGAGGGATTACAGACCCAAATTGTGAAACCTGCACCCAACGACTTCCTTGGCATCTGAAAAGATGCCTTGATTGGGGGAATCAGAAGGGAAAGGGCACTGAAAGATGTGGTGCTCAATAAGCACTTTTCTCAGGTTTTCAAAGAGAAAAGTCCTCAGATTTGCAAGGCAACAAATCTGGGATAAAAAAATGCCGTTTGGGGAAAAAATATGTGGTTAACCTCTGGAACTCGCTGATGCCATATTGTGGAAATTGCTGCCTGAATGAGCTGCTGGAGGGATCCGACCTTCTGGATGTAGGTAACGTGGCAGCGGCACATTAGGAACACCTGAGAGAGGGAAGGATGTGATTAGCATCAGTGGTTATGCCAGCTAAGCCAGAATTGCAAGAGCTGTCAATCCTCATGCCTGAAAGCATTAGCTGATCACCAGCTGGGTTAGGAAGAAATCTATTCCTTTGGGGTCTGTTTCTATAGACCTTTCAGATGCAAAATTCCTCCTTTTTTAATGGTGGGGTTGGCCTAGGAAGGTGCTGGCCAATTACGGGAGTTTTACAGCTTTGTCTGAGGCACACAGCATTGACCACTGCTAGAGACAGGCGAGCAGATTAGAGAGCCTGACTCCTTCGCTGCGGCAATTACGATGTTACTAATTGCTGAACCAAAATTAACCAAATAAAGTTAGAGTCTTGCAAGTCTATGGAAAGAAACGGTGCTGGCTAGGTCGCTGCTCCGTGATGTTGGAAGCCGGCGGCGCTGTCCCCGGCAGCGGGCCCGGAGCAGATGACAAAAGATCAAAAGGCTGATACAGGAGGGGACCCTTGGGAAAGCAGGAGGCCCCTGATTCACCACTGGGCACCTGGGCAGGGACACAGCACGTGTGAGCCACGCTGGAAAACGCTGCCTACGTGGTCACCGTGGCAGGGCAGCCACGTGGGCTCGGAGGGGAAGCCACTGGCGTCTCTCTGCGGGTGCACGGAGCGTTGTGCGTTCTCCCAAAGCCAGTGGGGCTCCCAGTGCTGCTGTAGAAGGCGTGTGGCAGGGATGTGCAGACAGGAAATATGTGCAGACATGTTGGGTCTCGTGCGCTCGGGGTGGGAATTACTCATCCCGCTTCCTGCTCCCTCGCTGCGTCCCCGGGTCAAGGCTGCGCTGGTCCCCACTCACCCCGCAGCCTGGAGCAGGAGAAGCCCCTGCTTGGTCCCTCCTCAGCACCGTGACATCCCTCAGCCCCTGCTGCTCCCCCTGGCAGACTGGGTTTTGGGGGTTGGAGTTGAGGTGAATGGAGATGTCTGTTCTGGGATGTTGCTGGCACAGGTTTGGGGGGGCTGAGGCTCTGATGGGGATCAATGCACATGTATGTGTGGGGTTAGGGGTTTCCCCTTCAGAGTCTTGGTCCCCCCAGCCCCACATGTGGTCTGTGTGTATGTGCCCCACGCTGGCAGACGCAGGACCAGCCTCTGTGCCTCAGTGGAGTGACTTTAGTTACAGCACCGAGTGCAAGGTAACTAAAATGTTAGTCACAATTTAGTTACAGCACCGAGTGTGAGGCAAGGTGCTGACCCTGTCTCTGGCTGCAAATGGTAAAAAAAGAGACATCTTCCTTTTATGTGGGTATAAAGGAGGACAGCACTCAGGCTTAGGAATATAACACCTCCACCAGCATCTGGATGTAGGGATCTGCTCACCGAGCACGTCTGAAAAAGCACCATTAACCATCCATGTTGGTTTTTAACCCAAAAGCCTCCAGGAAGGGCCTGCTTGGTTGGGCTCCTAAATAGGTCTTTACGTCGTGCTGCCTGAATTTGAAAGTTTTTTGCCCATTTTTTGCTGTCTGAGGGCTGGCACGTCCATGCCCAAGAGCGTGATGCTGTCTCTACCTGCAGGGCCACTGACCACTTTGTGCTTTGCCCCCACAGCCCCCGGTACCCAGCCAGACCTCCTCCTACTCTTGCATGCTGCCCACCAGCCCATCGGTGAATGGACGGAGCTATGATACATACACCCCTCCTCACATGCAGACACACATGAACAGCCAGCCCATGGGCACCTCTGGCACCACTTCCACAGGTGAGTGTCCCCCTGCTCCCCCAGCCCCCTGCCAGCCTGCCTTCTCTGCTCCAGCCATCAGGCTTTTCACCTGCGCTCGCTGTGGGAAGTCTCTCCCCATCACTGGGGGAGGTCTCTCTGCTGGGATTCGTTGCTGCCATACCAGGCAGAAGATGAAAATGTAGAACCTAGAGCAAAAAATTCTGATTTTTAAGCTGCTTCTTGGAAGGCTAGGTGGAAAGAAAGCTGATTAAGAGAGGTGGTGTGGAAATAGCAGGACAGAGGCAAGCTCTTTAGTGAGCCCCCCATCCCTCAAAAAAAAAATCTTCCGTGTATAATTAAATTCTAAATCAGCATTTATTTCAGCATTAAACTTCAGCAGAGATCTCCACAGTGGTGAGGTTAAGTGTATGTGAAACTGTTTGCAGTACTGAGCACATTTTTACTGTGTCTGTGTCAGACAGTATTTATAGCTAAAGGTTTGAAGTTATCAAAGAGGCAGGGAACCTGTAGAAATATTAGCCCATGCATAAAAAAGGCAAATCAGGGTAAAAAAGGGCAAGTGTCAGCAGAAACAGGAGCAATTCAAGCAGTTTTCAAAAGAATAGAACAATTCAGTGTATTTTGGGCTGAATTCTCAACTGATACAAATGAGCCGAGGCTCTGGCATTTATCTCAAAGCATGAAAGTTTATTTATCACAACAATCAGTGAGATAATTTTTAAAATATATGCACCCCCAACCCCTGGTTCCACTGGATGTTAGAGGGTGAGATTTGATGTTTACTGGAATACAAGCTCAAATCTGTGAAACTGTAAAGCAAAAATTGAGCTATGTATAGAAAAACTAAAATATCCACTTTCCCTCTCAATTTTCAGGTCTCATTTCCCCTGGAGTGTCAGTTCCAGTTCAAGTTCCTGGCAGTGAACCTGATATGTCTCAATACTGGCCAAGATTACAGTAAAACATGTGTTAATTCCGTAAATGACTATATGGACAACAGTTGGATGTTCAGCAGTATTTTATAAAGGAAGAATGGCTCTCAGAGTACTTCTGTACTGCAACTGTGCCCTATGCTGTAACACATGGAAAAGACTTTCACATGGACCTTTGTACACTGAAGGCATTATATCAGTTGGAACAAATCTTCATTTTGGTATCCAAACTTTTATTCATTTTGGTGTATTATTTGTAAATGGGCATTTGTATGTTATAATGAAAAAAAAAAAAAGAACAATGTAGACTGGATGGATGTTTGATCTGTGTTGGTCATGAAGTTGTTTAAAAAAAAAAAAAGAAAAGGAAAAAAAAAAAAAAGAAGCCATGATCAACAAGCTTTGCCACGAATTTAAGAGTTTTATCAAGATATATCGAATACTTCTACCAATCTGTTCATAGATTATGGATTGATGTTCCAAGTTTGTATCATTCCATTGCATATAATTAAACCTGGAACAATACGCACTAGATTTATGTAAGAAAAATATCTGTTGGTATTTCCAAAGGTTGTTAACGGCTGAAGCTATGTGCAAACAGGGGTTAAGAGAGAGCTGCGATGAAGAAAAGAGTTTGATAGATAAAAGGTAGATTGTGTCTTCGATATAATCCAATTTGTTTTATGTCAAAATGTAAGTATTTGTCTTCCCTAGAAATCTCCCAGAATGATTTCTATAATAAAGTTAATTTCATTTATATTTGACAAGAATATTCTATAGATGTTTTATACACATTTTCATGCATCATACGTTTCTTTTTTGGTCGGCAAGAGTTAATTGTTCTTAGATATAGTTGTACTACTGTTCACAGTCCAATCATCTTTGTGCATCTAGAATTCATTCCTAATCAATTAAAAGTGCTTGCAAGAGTTTTAAACTTAAGTGTTTTGAAGTTGTTCACAACTACATATCAAGATTAACCATTGTTGATTGTAAAAACCATGCCAAAGCCTTTGTATTTCCTTTATTATACTATTTTCTTTTTAACCTTATAGTGTGGTGTTGCAAATTTTGTTACTGTGCTAGGTTAATCTCATTAAGTTTTATTTTGATTTTATTTTCAGTTTTCAGTAAGGAGGGGCTCTTAAGAAGCACTTTTATAGACTTTCAGCCCTTCCACCAGCCTGTAATTTGGGCTAACAAAAAGAAGACAGTGTTAAGTTTAATTTTAATTTTATTTTCAGTAAGGAGAGGTTCTTAAGGAACACTTTTACAGACTCTCAGCCCTTCCACCAGCCTGTAATTTGGGCTAACAAAAAGAAGATAGGTTCATGTATCTAACCGAGAGCAGGAGCAGGTTGTTTATTTAGCTGGGGTTTCTGGGGATGCTCTAAACGAACTCCAGAATCCAGCAGAATTTCCAGAGGGGATTTGCACCGTGCCAGGCCTGTGTCTGTCTGTCCCCATTGTACCTAAAGGACGTATGGACACACGTACACCCAGATATACACCCCCCACTTCTAAAAATTGTTTTTGTTAGGATGCTTAAAAGGGGAAAAAAACAACCCAGCTGTGTTTTTAACAGGCTCTTTGGGAGAGTGAATGCCATCCCTTTATATTGCCACACAGCACAATCTTAGTGTAATTTTCCATTGAACTTGTAACCTGGTTAATACCTCAATGCGCTTTGTGTGAGGGTTGTTAGTGTGGGCGTGGGTGGAGAGCTGCATGTCAAGGAATAATGAGAGAAGACAAATCAACAGGCAGCAACAATGCGAGCTGGGACTGGCTAGTGAAAGCTAAAGGCCTTTAGTCACTGGCAGGGAAATCTAAACATTCCCATATCTATGAAGCTGGCTCATTGTGCTGCAGTTGTTACTCTCGATGCTGTGCTGAAAAAGGGATCTCATGATTAAAAAGCCAGTGTGCGGGGAGTTTTGAGTCAAAGCACAGGCATCACAAGCAGCCTTTGTAAAGCAGAGATACCATCTAGGCTGGTTATGCTTTCCTTTTGGCATATTTGTCAGCGCAGACAGCACTTCACTGGAGACTTGGGGTAGCAGGGCTGTGCTGCTGAGGTGGCTGCAGTGCTGCAGATGCCATTAAATGCATGTAAACTCGGGATCCTTTAGGGAAAAAGAGCAGCTTTGCTCAAAGCATGAGATGATAGCTATTAAAAAGAAGAGCTTAAAGCAAGCAAAAATGAGCTTTGATTTTGATACTGGTCAGTTTTAAGTATATTTTAAATTTTAAAGGCATCAATTCACAAATGTCAAAGAAACATCAGTTTTGAATTTTTTTTTGGTATATATTTTTATCAGACCTGCACGTTACGTATTTATAAGAAAGAGATAAATCGCATTAAACACCACAACAGGCAGGTCCCTCCTCACCCGAGGAGGGTGAGCTAACTCGAATCCGGGAACAATTAATTACAGGTACAAACCCAGCACTTCTACGGCTAATTATCCTGTTTATACCTACTAGTTTGTTATGGAAATGCCAACTTCTGCTCGAGCAGGAACGGAAAAGAGCTTCCCATCCCTTCCTCCCCCGACAACTCCTGCGCGCCGCTCGCTGCTCCTGCAGGTGCCGATGCGCGGGCAGAGACAGCTCCCCATAGCTCTTCCCTGCCCTTCCTGGCTTTTCCCGGCCTTGCAGCTCCACCGCCAGTGTTCCAGCGGCCGCTGGCCCCCGAGGTGCAGTCGCCAGCCCTTCCCAAGGCTTTTCCCGGCCGTGCCACAGAGCCGCGTGTGCGCGGCCGGACCTCGCCATCATTTCAGTGGCAGGCCGGCCGGAGGAGAGGAGGCATTTCTGGCTCGCTGGCTCCTTACCGTGCCCTGCGGAAGGGGAGAAGCGCCCGGCTGGCTGCGCATCGGCGAGGAGCGCTCGGTGCCCGCAGCCGAGCGCGCCGGGGGCTCCGCGGGTGGCGGGCAGCCTTGCCCTGCTCCCGCCTCCCCAGCCCAGCCGAGGGGCATCTCCCTCCCCGGGCGGGCTGGGGCACGGAAGCCCCGCTCGCTCGGCCCCAGCCCCGGTGCTGGATCCCGGGCCCTTCCCGGGGGCTGCCCGGAGCGCCGCTGTCGGCGGGCAGGGATGGAGCGCGGCTCCGTGGGGACGTGCTGCCTCGCCAGGCTTCGCATCCAGCAGCAGGAGTGGGGGAAGAAAATCTTCAGCGTGTTTTAAACAGCCTCTAACATCCATATTCACCCCCTTTTTTCTTCCAAAGGCGTGTTACTTGTGAAGACTGAAATCTGCCGTGATCTATTTGCTCAGTGTTAACGCAGCGATTTCCAAGGGTCTCCTCTTTTCACCACTGAAATTAGTGGGAGTTTTGCTATTGATTTCAATAGGAATGAGACATTTCTGTGCATTTGGTTAAAATGTATTTCATAATAACACCTTATACTTTATTTATAAGCCCCTTCTAAGGCATTTCACAAATTATAGTCACACAAGAATTGATGTGTGAGCGCTGTCTTAATAACACTGTATTTTGTGTTTCAAATATTGTGTTCTAGATACAATATTTACATTTACAAGTGAAAAGGCGGCTAACCTAACAGTTATTGTTCAGAGCAGACAGATGATGAGCCATACATGCTGATGGCGAAGCAGACACGCATGGGTGACACACGTGCTGGAGCCGCCTCGCACCGAGCACACACCGCCTTTAATCGCTTTTAAAAGGTAAGCATGTGCCCTGCCGCAGGAGGCGGCGAGAGCTGCTTTCTCACCCAGGGTAGAGAGCTGAAAGGGGGTTTCCCCTCTTCTTTTTAGCTGGGCTTTTTATTTATAAAGTGAGCAAAATGCCCCCGTGAGCTGGTTGCCTTTAGGCAGCCTAACACGGGATTTATTTGTAGGGGCAAGATTACAGCAGCAGACAACGAGCCGGGACTGATAACACATGGCCCCCACCAAGGCTTTCCAGCCATTTGGAAGTCCCATTTCATTCACTTTCAATGGCCAAACCTGTCTGGGTTGTTTGGGGTTTTTTTTCCGGCTTTTTTTTTTTTAATTTTTATTTTTTGTAACATTGATTTTTCTGGTATTACCTACTAAAACATATTCTCTCCCCTTCTCTGGGCAGTTTAGAGTTATGCTAAGGATTAAATTAGTTCCACTTTTCCATGGTAAAAACAGCACTGCAAAAACTGAAAATTTGTGGTTCTTTTAAAATTTTTTCCCCCCAGTTCATTTCTGTTTGCTTTTGTCCACAGTTTCAGCAGTTGAGCTTTGTGCCACGTGCAGCTGATAAGGCTTCTCCACTCTGGGAATGGTGTAGGGTCTTCTTTTAAAATAATTCTTCTTTGCAGCCCTGTTTTTGGGCAGAGTGTGATCGGCACCTACAGACACCCCAAACAACACCCTCCTCAGCTGGAAACAGGGGAGGGAATTGGAATTACAGGTGTGGGAGGGAGTCTGTGGTGGCTGCTTGGTCCCATTCAGAGGGAGAGAAGGCACTGTGGGGGTGTTTCTCTGGCTGAAGAGTGCAGGAACCCCTAAAGCCCTGCACTGACAGAGGCATGTTCCTCCTCTCTGGGTGGAAAACAAAGCATGGAATGTAGCTCCTTTTGGATTAATGCTGGAGAGTGGTGTTAGGGAAGTCTCCCACGTACGTTACCATTCAGTATTTCTTTGAGAAAACAGAGGCTGGAGGAAGCTGCACGAGGTGCACAGTAGTAAAAAGATAGCACAGTTTGGACAGGAGCCAGCTTGGCAGGTTTTTGCTTTAGAACGTAGCTTAAATTAATTCCTCCCCCAACATTCTCTTCTTAGCTGTGAAGAAAGAAAACCCCAGTGCATCAGCAGACAGTTCGGGTAGCTTACCCTGGGTAATCCACTATCCTAAGATAGTTTGCAAAAGTGGTCATGTGGAAAATGAAGGTGCTTTTATAGGGTCTGCAGAAATGAAACCCCAAAGCAATGAAGCCATTTGATCAGTCTGGTAATATGTGCTGCTGATGTGCTGCAGATTTCCATGAACCCCCCAGCTGCCAGAACCCCTGCTGTTCCTTTGGAAGGTGGTGGAAGTCTCCAAGATACCTGCTTTCCTTCAAGTTTTGACTGTGTTTTTGCACACTGAGCATTTCAGGGCCTTCTGTGCTGTTCCCTTTCCCCATCCTGGTTGTATCCCTGGTGAGAGGATCGTGATTTTGAAAATGTGTGTCTGATGCTGGTGGGCTGTGTGCTGGGGCTGCTTTGCCCCCACAAAGGACTTTGATACTGGTTTTGCTGGGCTGGTAAAGGCCTCTGGTGCTGGAGCCTCACTGCCTAGGTTGAATTGTAGGTGGGTCAGATGGTGAGCAGAGGTTCTGTCAGTGCCCCAGGAGAATCCTTGTTACCTTCAGGTGCCTGA